ATGCGAGAGCTTATCCAGAGAAGCAGTGACACCAGAGATGGAGGCAGAGATGGGGACATGGAGAGAGGGAGCAGCTGAGGACTCTAGATTCATGGGATGAGAGGGACTAAGAGCTGGCAGCTAGGAGACAGACTTGCAGAATGTGCCCTTTCATGGTGTAAATTATTATATATGCCTGAGTGTTTAAAGAAAAAAAAGAGCTACAGTGAATAGAAATACTGTTAACTGATAGGACATGGAGGGGATTATAATCATTGTAATGAAACAAGGTGTATGACTTGTTGAATGTAAAACTGATGATCTGCTCTGTAAACTTTCACTCAATTCACAATAAAAACTTAAAAAAAAAAAAAAAGATAATACAAAAATGCTGCAACCATACATTGACAGAGAACTTCCAGAGGTTCAAACTGGATTCAGAAGAGGATGTGGAATGAGGACTATCATAGCTGCCATCAGATGGATCTTGGCTGAAAGCAGAGAACACCAGAAAGATTCATACTTAGTACACTCCATGTTCCAATTATTACTGGATGTCTACAGTTGTATCGACTCCACAGCATATTACCACCACCACAGCTGTATCTGCTCATTTTGAGTCGTGCCTCATCAGCAAATGACAATCCTGAAAGTTTATTCCATTTGTGTCACCACGGTCCATTCTACTTTGAGGAGGAAGCTCTTCTCAAGTCGTATTTTGAATGTTTCCCAACCTGGGAGCTCATTTTCCAGGACTACATCTGATAATATTCTGGTTCTATTCATAATGTTTTGATCTTCTAGCACTATAGCTGACAATGTTCCGCTGCTATTCATAAGGTTGCTGATGGCTAAAGATTCAGAAGTACTCCACCTCTCTATGCCTAGTCTACCTTAGTCGGGAGCTTAGCTGAAATCTCTTCACTACAGGTGATCCTGCTGGTATGAAAATCCCATTGGCATAGCTACCAACATCACAGGAAAACACTACAAGAATAAATAGACAAAATAAATGCAAATTTTGGAACAAAAACTTGCAATTAGAAATCTAGAACATTAATACCAAGATCTCAGAAATAGGCAATACATTGAAAGGATAAAGGAGTAGATGCAAAGCAATGGAAGCCCGAATTAGTGAGCTTGAAGATAAATCTCTCAGTCCTAATATGCTAGAAGAACAATCAGAAAAAAGAATGAAAAATTCAAAGAAAGCCTAAGAGTTGTGCGGGACACCATGAAGAGGACCAACTGACAGGCAAAACAGGAAGAGAGAAGCACAGAGAACACTGGCAAAGAAATGTTGGAAGAAAACGTCCCTAACACCACAAAAGACGAGAAGATAAGCATACAAGAAGTTGAACGAACCCCAAACAGGATTGATCCCAAAAGAAAATAACCAATATATATCATAATAAAACTCTCCATAGTCAAAGACAAGGAAAGAATCTTGAGAGCAGCTCAGGAAAAATGAAAAGTTACCTACAAAAGAGAACTAATAAGAGTAAGCTCTGATTTCTTCGCAGAAACCATGCAGGCAAGAAGGCAATGCAATGACATATACAAAATGCTGAAAGAAAAAGAGTCCCAACCAAGAATCATACACCCAACAGAGCTGTCCCTCAAATATGATTGTGACATTAGGACATTTCCTGAAAAACAATTAAAGGAATTGTAACAGACCAACTTTACATAAAATACTAAAAGGTGTTCTCTGGGCTGACAACAAATATAAGCAGGTAACAGCCTGAGATTACCATCCAGAGCTCAATCCAGATGGAGGAATTCAAGTAACTGAAGATAGGGAGCCAGAGACATAAATTTACAATGACGTCAATTACAAAGCAAAAAGAGGGAAGAGTGTAGATATAGAACTTCCAAAGGCAAGGAAGTCAAGTGGATTTCAAGATATAACAGACTGTTTTAAGAAGGGAAAAAATAATAAATTCCAGGGAAATCTCAAAGAAACATCACACCTGTACATCAAAATTTTTTTAAAAAAGAAGGGAAATCAGAAAGTTAGCATATATTAACACAACAGAACTGAAAATGAAATGTCACAAACAAAATACAGTCAGTACAGAAAAGTATGTGAAACAAAGAATCCAGCAACATCAGAAAAACAAGAAAACACACAAAAAAATGACAATATCTCATTAAATGAATTCACACTGGAAAAAACAAAAAACAAAACAACAATCAATTCATACCTATTGATAATTACACTGAATGCAAATGGATTAAATGTACCAGTCAAGAGACATGAAGGATAATGATGAATCTGAGAAACACCTCACAACATATTTGACCCTGGAGAACATTATGCTAAGTGAAATTTGTTGTTGTTGTTAGGTGCCATTGAGTCAGTACCAACTCATAGTGACCCCAATGTACAATAGAACAAAACATTGCCCGGTCCTAGGACAACCTCATGATTGTTGCCATACTCGAGCCCATTAATGCTGACACTTTGTCAGTCCATCTTGCTGGGGATCTTTCTCTTTTTCTCTGACCTTCCACTCTACCAAACATGAAATCCTTCTCCAGCGACTGGTCCTTCCTGACAATACGTCCCAAGTATGAGAGAGGAAGTTTGCCCATCCTTGCCTCTAAGGAGACTCTGGCTGTACTTCTTCCAACACAGATCTGTTGGTTCTTTTGGCAGCGCATGGTACTTTCAATATTCTCCTCCAACACCATAACTCAAATGCATCAGTTTTTCTGCGATTCCCTTATTCACTGTCCAGTTATCGAAAACACCAGGGCTTGGGTCAGGTGCACCTTTAGTCCTCAAGCTGACATCTCTGCTCTTCAACACTTTAAAAAGGTCTTGTGCAGCAGATTTGCCTAATACAATACGTCATCTGATCTCTTGACTGCTGCTTCCGCCAGTGTTGATAGTTGATCCAAGAAGAATGAAGTCCTTGACAACTTCAATTTTTTCTCCATTGATAAGAATGTTGTTTATTGGTCCAGTGGTGAGGATTTTTGTTTTCTTGTCATTGAGATGTAATCCATACTGTGCTCTTTGATCTTCATAAGTAAATATTTTAAGACTCTTCACTTTCGGCAAGAAGGTTGCATCATTTGCATATCACAGGTTGTTTATGAGTCTTCCTCTAATCCTGATACTACATTTTTCTTCATATAACTCAGCTTCTCGGATTATTTGCTCAGCACACAGGTTGAGTAAGTATGGTGAAAGAATACACTCCTGTCGTACACCTCTCTTAATTTTAAACCATTCAGTGTTCCCATGTTCTTTTCGAACAACTGCCTCTTGGTCCATGTACAGATTCCTCATGAGCACAATTAAGTGTTCTGGAAGACTCACAGATGTTTACAACTGTTTCTCTTCATTTTGAGTTGTGCCCTATCAGCAAATGAAGGTCCCATGGGCTTTTCTCCCACAGGCTTTACTCCATTTGGTCAACTCTACTTTGAGGAGGCAGCTCTTCCCCAGTCGCATTTTGAGTGCCTTCCAAATGCACTCATTTTCTGGCACTATATCTGACAGTGTTTCTCCGCTATTCATGAGGTTTTCAGTGACTAAATATTTGGAAGTAGTTCATCTCTCCTTCTTACTAGTCTGTCTTCTTCTGGAAGCTCATCTGAAACCTGTCCACTGTGGGTGACCCTAATATTATTTAAAATACCCATGACATAGCTTCCAGAATCACAGCAACTCATAAGCTACCACAGTACGACAAACTGACAGATGAGGTAGATTCAAAAAATTCATGGAAAAATTCCATTACCTTTAAATTCCACTTATTCTTGAACTTTTGAAGCCCCATAGTATATCTCAATATTAAAAGAACCAATCAAATTGTACAGTGGATGTGTAGGATAGCATATCCTATCATCAAAAATTGTTTTAGAAATAAAGAGAATACATATTGTGTAGGTAAGTTAACAATCTCTTTCCTTCATGGTGAAATTTTTCCACTAAAAAGGAATTACAGCCACATTTCTAGGTCTTCATCAAATTACCCCAGTTCCTTTCTTGACCTTCAATTCTATTTCTTGGAGAGTACAGTTAAGAGGCTTTGAAAAATGGAGGAACAATGTGTCCACGCAGTATTTAAGGTAGTAATGGCACAAGGCCTAATCAGTTAATTTAAAAAAGTCCATTTTCTGACTTTTACCTGCGGTTCCTATTGTGATACAAAATCTTCATTTCGAAGGCTTTGGCCCTCTGTGCAACCTTATAGCCAATAGTGCCCATGCCGATGATTCCCAGAGTGGCCCCTGTCACTTCTTCACCCATCCAATTCAAAGACATGGTCGTCATATCTGCTGCATGAGCCAACTGATGACCTAAAATGTACAAGGTAGAAGTGAGCCATGGAAATGACACCAACAGCAACCCCACAATCTTCACTTGGATTTCCTGACAGAGTGACCATTACAGAATGCCCACTGTGGACCACAGGCATGCATGCTTTTCTACATGGCAGGAAACAAAAGTTCTAGAAGACATGAATAATGGGGTAATCTGAATGGATAAAGGAGGGGGGAAATGTTTAGGTGTTTGACCGTCTTATGGATATTGGTTTCCTCTGCCTACTACTGTCAAATAGACCTTTAAGTGTGACAGAAATGAATATTGGGAATTATGATTATAGAAAGCATATAAGCCTATCTTCAGCCTATCATTGATTGGATTTGCCATAAGGGGAACTAGAATTTGCCCACAAAAATTGGCTTCTTGTTAAGCTTTTGTAGCATATGGGGCCTTAGGTGGAATCCTGAGTCCCACCCAGAACCTTCTGATTTAGGACATTCCCATTTGAAAAGACATACAGACAGAAGAATATAATCGAAAGAAAGACCTACAGAAAAAAAGCGGACTGTTTGGCTGTTAGAATATCAAGCAAGCTGTTTGCTTTGGAGGCATCAAGGCAAGAAAAGTCAGCCCATCAGGAAAAATTCCCTTCTAGACTGAAACTCAAAGGGAACCTGCAGGCACTCTGGTATACTTGCGGGAAATGCAACAATGAAGACATGGCCTGAGTGTGACTATGTTTCATTGACATCTGTTGACATCAAGATGAGAGAGAGAAGAGAAAGTTCTGGCTAGTCTGGAGTTTAGAAGATGTGTGAACTCACAAGTTCATGGGCACTGACGTAGCTACTAGGGGACAGAGCTGAAAGTGAAGCGGCCAGGTGGTCTGAAGTGTAGCGAGGCATGTGTGAACTCCCAAACTTGCAACTAGTACCCATTTGACCTAGTTTGGCTGGCTAGTTGAACTAGAACCAAGGACGATAAAGATGCTTGAGACTGTGAGCAAGTATAAATTGCTACAATTTGATGAACTGGATCTTTATTTATGGATGCAGTTGCTCAAAATTCCAATCAGAATGGAAGGATTCTTCATATCAAGAAACAAGCTTGTTTACTGATATTCACTAGGTTGATAGTGATGGGAATGTAGACATTGGCTATTAAAAATGGGGCACATCATCACCACCACCACCATAAAGACATGAAGTGGCTGGCTTCAAGCTTTCATGAGTGTGCTCACTTTCAGAACAAGGGGGGTAAAGTAGAATCCCCACTGAATTGTTTTCCCCTGGTGAAAGGGGACAGGGGATGATGGCAATAGGATTTTATGTTCAATTGTGAATAATTCTTAGCAGGATTAATTGTGATAGTCACAACTGTAACAGTGTAAGGTATGTAACTAAAAGGGTGGTGTAGCTAATCTTTCATTTCAGGAAGAGAAGATCCCAGGGCTAGCAAGAGCACGAGTGGAGTGTGAGATCCTAGCTAGAAAAGCAGTGTGAGCGGCTGCAGACTGCAGGCCCCAGGCCCAGGGACTGAGTCAGGCTGTGTGCCTGAGGGCAGGAGGTTGGCTGGCAGAATATGCCTTTAGGGCACTGAAATGAAGACAGAGTTTTTGTTATGTAGGTGTGCATCAAATATTTTTGCTTTGTTCATTTGTAAAATATAAGATGTAAACTAGAAGCCATAGGAAGTAGGCTAACTACTGCAGAGAGGGGATTGTAATCATTGAGATGAAAAACAAAGACACGTACAATTTGTTGACTGTCAAGGTAGTGATCTTGTCTGTTAACCTTCATTCAGTTCATAACAAAAAGTTAAAATAAATAAATAAAATAAACAACAAAAGACATGAATAATGGGAATAAATGGCAATTTACTCATAATGACACCAGAGCCTGTGGTAGAATGTTTAAAAATAGCAAATTCTTTCACATTAAGGAAGACTTTTGGGTTGAAAGGAGTTGTTTTGTGTGTTTTAACCAGTAGCTAAAAATAGGAAGAACCTAGTTCTTACTTCATTTTTCTTCAACCCCTTCATAACAAAGTCTTCATCTGGAGGATATGGGAGAAGCTTTTCATTACTATGTGATCATTCCGCAGTCCAATCCCGAGACGTGTCTGTATAGGAATGGCTGGGATTCTACTTCCTCACTTGTAGTTCATGAGCCCAGGGTAGCATGCCTGACATGGTAACGGGTGACCCCTCAGGGCATTTCCCAGCACTCATGTGTCAGTGTGTCCTAGAGGCTGGAAGCCATGTCACCAGTATTGAAAATACCAGCAGGGTCACCAATGGTGAGCAGGTTTCAGCTGCGTTTACAGACTAGGAAGAAGGAAAAAGCAGTCCACGTCTAAAAATTAGCCACTTAAAATGTTATGAATATTAGCAAAATATTGTCTGATATTGTGCCAGTGGATGAGCCCCTCAGGTTGGAATGTATTCTAACTATGCCTGGGGAAGGAGTTGCCTCCTCAGAGACAAGGATGGAGTCAAGCTTTGGGGACATTCATTTGTTGATATAGCTTGACTCAAGAACAAGTAACCGTAAACATCTATAAATCGTCAGAATATATGAAGAATGAATCTAGAAGTCATCAAAACTTAAATGGGACACATAAAGGTTGAAACTGGTGACATGAACTGGACTGGTATTGGCCAGTTTGAATCAATTATATGGTTTACTAGGCTAGGAATGGAGTCCTGGTGTGGCGCTGTGGGTTATTGCGCTGGACTGCAAGGTCGGCGATTCAAACTCACCAGCTGCTTCCTGGAAACGTTATTCAGGGTTGCTATAAATCAGAACTGACTCAAAAGCAGTGAACTACAACATGCTAGGAATGGCAGAATGAAGAGGAAGGGCATCACGTCATCATTAAAAAGAGCACTTCAAGATCTAGCCTGAATTACAAAGCTGTCATTGACAGGCTAACATCCATGTGCCTACAAGAAAGACCAGTTCATACAACATCACTGAAATTTACACACAAATTACTAAAGTGAGAGATGAAGACCTGGAAGGTTTTTGCCAACTTTAGCAGTCTGAAATTGATCAAACATGCAATCAAATGCATTGCTAGTTATCTTTTATTTGAATGTGAAAGTTAGAAACAAAGAAGGATCAGCCGTTGGAAAATACGACCTTGGTGACAGAAATGACAGTGGAGGTCGCAGGATAGAATTTTGCAAGACCAACTTATTCACTGAAAATACCAGAGGCGGTGACTATACAAGTGGACCTCACCAGGTGGAACACACATGCATCAAAGGAACTCTATGTGTGGAAGGAGACAATGGAGAAGCTCAATATCATCAGTCAGAACAAGGCCAGGGCTCTACAGCGGAACAAATCATCTATTGCTCATATGCAAATTCAGGTGGGAAATGAAGAAAATTAAAACAAGTCCTCAAAACCAAAATACAACTAAGATTTTATGTCAACTTGGCTGACTTGGCAGTCAGATTTTCAATGGTTTGGCAGTGAAGATACAGCAACCTCCCATGAGGAGACTTACTATAATGCTGTGATCTGATGTGGTTATTTCTGATCCGATGTAATTATTCTGTGTGCTGAAAATCCTCATTTCTATGATGTTAGTGAAACCACACGCAATCTACAGGGCTAGGCTGTATCTTGACTCAATCATTTTAGAGATATAAAAGGAGAAGTGAGCAAAGAAAGAAGGACTTATTACAAGGAAAAAAGACATTTTCCTATCTGATATGTGAGTAAAATTTCATAATCAGACTCTTGGGTAATAAAGGGATGTGATTGGGTTTATCAAGCTTGGACACTAATGCAGGCTACAAACTATCAAGAGAGGCTCCAATTCCCAAGTGTAGGAAAGTCAGACAAAACTGTAGCTTAAAGATATCCACATATTTTAAAAATACCTTTTTCTTTCTTCTTCTGAATTTTTAAATTATCTCATGAAATATTTGTCAGTAAATTTCTTTGGCAAATCAACCTCTTGAATGGACATTTTACGTTCCACGAGTCTCCGGGCAGAAGCCAGTAGTAAGGCCATTCCCATGTCTGCTGTGGGGTTTGATACGTCCTTTGGTGTGTTGGCCACTTTCACACCAAAGCGAGCAATGAGCTTCAGGTCCAGGTGATCTAAACCCACTCCTCCATTGGCGATAATCTTCAAGGAGGGCAGGGTCTGTAGGAGTTCCTGGTCAATAACGGGCTGTCCTGCCCAAACGTAGACAGCCTGGATCTTTGGGCTGAATTTTGTTTTATTTTCCAAAAATTCCTGCATGGTAATGAGATTAAAGTGTTTCTGCAGGTCTGCAACATGGTCCTTACACACGCTTCTTGGTCCTTCAAATCCAGACACCAAAACCGCAGGTAGCTCTTGATCTCCCATGACCTACAGAATGAGATTTGCACAAGACAGGGCTTCAAACCAGTTCATTCTGGATGGATTCCTTGCTGAAAATTTGCATTTCCATCCCTCATCCACTGAATCATAAGCTAGAGTTTAACAAGATTTCCAGGTGATTCTTATTTTTCAATGTACTATATACATAAGAATCACCAGAAAGTCTTTTTAAATGCAGATTCGGATTCATTACATCTAAGGTGGAAATGCAAATTCTCAGCAGGGGGTTGAACTGGACCGAACCAGTCTGAAATCCTGCTTTAAGAGAACAGCCCACAGGAGTAACTTCTGCTACTCCTCAGATTTCTTAAATCACAAGACTGGCTTTCATTTTTATTTAGTTTATCAATTCCCAGGAAACCCGAAAGGCAGTAAGCCCAACACTCTGACTCAACAAAGTCCCTTTCCATCTTGCCCACTTCCCTCTGTCTAGTGACTCTGGTATTCAGGCCTCTCTTGGAGTGTGGGATGAACTCTTTGAATTACTTCAAAGGAGAATTCGGCAGAAGGTCTGGGAATCATTCTGAGATTTAGTCATGAAAGACTGCTTTTGTCTTGGGGGTGGTAACCCGCTGCCATGCTGTGAGGCAGCCTTCTGGAAAGGCCCATGAGCCCTGGCTGCTCCAATGCTGAGGGAGCAAGTGGAGTAGCAGTACTGATGCGCTTCTCCGTTATTGGTCACGTTCTTTTGTGAACAGAACTCAGACCTCGGTCTGTCTCCAGTCACAGACCAGGAGCATAAGACAGGAAGTCAGCTCTGCTATCAACATCACTGTCCTGGTTGCTGCTGCTCCTTACTGTGTGGTCTATGGTGTGGCAGCTTTTCTCACTTCGGATCCCTTATCAGCACTGCCCTGGACATCCATAAGTCCTCCAACAGTGTCTTAAAGGCACTGTGGGCTTAGTTCCTCTTTCAGTCGTTGCTCATTATCCACTTCCACGATTGAGGCAACCGTTAGAGCAGCACTCCATTTCCTGGGACCAAACTCTGTCTTAGTTATCAGGTGCTGCTATAACAGAAAAAAATTGCTAAACCACTGAGAATGCAGGCCCAGCGAAGTGGACACAATGCCTTAAATACTAGAGCATCTTTACTCATAGTGTTATATTTGGTAAGGCCCATCAAGTCAGTTACAACTCGTAGCTAACTTGTATAGGGTTACCCAGGAGTGGCTGGTAGATTTGAACTGCTAATCTTGCAGTTAGCTGTTAAGTACTTATCCTATGGCACCACAGTAGAAAAATGTAAATCAAAACCACATGCGATGTCCTGGTGTGGCGCTCGCTGTGGGTTAATGCACCAGACTACAAAGCCCTTTGAACTGCAAGGTCAGGACTTCAAGCTCACCAGCTGCTTCTTGTAAACCCTTTACAGGATCCCTATGGGTCAGAATCGACTGGACGGCACTTCACAACCACCACCACCGCCACCAAGGAGCTCTGGTAGCACAGTGGTTACGAATCGGGCTGTGAACCTTAAGGTCAGCAGTTTGAAACTATCAGCTGCTCCGCAGGAGAAAGATGAGGCTTTCTGCTCCTGTAAAGATTTACAGCCTCGAAAATCTTGTATAGGGTCGCTATAGGTCAGAACCGACTCCACGGGGCGCATCACAACAAAAACAACCAATCACCCAACCCCAAACCCAGCCCATTGCCAGCGAGTCAACTTACACTGCCATCAATCCTAACCAGGGCTTCCAAGGCTGTGAATCTTTCCGGGAGCAGCTCACCTTTCCTCTGCAGACTATCAGGTTTGCACTGCTGTACTGCTAACCACAAAGGCAGCAGTTCAAACCCACCAGCTGCTCTTCACAAACCCTACACAGGGTTGCCACGAGTTGGAACTGACTCCATGTTACTTAACAGCAACATGAGCAGCCGCGGCTGGAACTGAGGTGGCCTTGGCAGAGCCAGAACGAATGATTTCATGGACTTTATATGGCTGGCAGACCAGACATTTCCCACCCTTGCTATACAAGGTGGCTGAGTGGAACCCACTGGATGGCACTTACCAACCACCTTGCAGTTAGTCCAGTGCTTATCCTACAGTGCCCCAGGGCACTTTTTTTTTGCTATTTCTTTTTTTAAAATGTTTTATTGTGGATTATATGAGAGTTTACATGAGAGAACTTTACTTTTACATTCATTCTATTGTATATCGTTTCATTGCCATGGTTCCAATCTCCTCCATGCACCATCAATCGACCAAAAGGTATACCCTACAAACCCACCACCTGCACTTCCTCCCCGCCCCCCCCCCATCCAAAGTCCCCAGCCGCTTCATCACTCCACGTCATTGTCTCTGCCTCTATCTCTATCTCGCGCCTCACTGCTTCTCTGGGTGGGGTCCCGCTCTGGGCTCTTCTCCATTGATGGTCTTAGAGACCTCCGCTCCTAGACTGGAGAGTTAACCACTCCCTTCCTTGCTACAAAGCGTCAACCCTCACAATCAGTCCTGATAACAATTATTCACTATTGTATCACAAGTGACCCTTCTGCATTTCATTGCATCAGCTCCTCCTAGACAGATTGGATAGTACTCACTGGAGATTCTGCCTTCCTCCATGCCCCCTAGCTCTAGGTTCCCCAGGGCACCTTTTAATCAGGTAACCCCCCCCCCCCGTGTCTGTTAAATATCTATGCCTTTGACTCCGCTGCGTGTCTTTTAACTCACGAAGAGCTTCTAAGTTTAGTTCCTCCTTCAACTGTATAAGAAGGCTGCCTTTCCATCGGCGCAGTCAGCTTTACGGACCCTCCACTTTACCAAGCAGGATGTTTCTCCAAGGACTGGTCCCTCGTGATAATGAGTCCAAAGTATGAGAGGCCAAGTCTGGCCGGCCTGGCTTCTAAGGGGCACTCGAGTTGTAATTCCTCCGACACAGATCTGTTTGTTCGGGGGCAGTCTATACCTTCGTAACTCAAATGCATCAATTCTTCTACATTCTTCCTTGTTAACTGTCCAACTTTCACATGCATCTAAGGTTACTGAAAATACTATGGCTCGCCTATACACAAATAAATACTTAAAACGAGGAAAGCTTATTCCAGCAACTTTACGTATTGTGGTTGCTGCGTGCCGTCAAGTCAGTTCCGGCTCACAGCGATCCTGCATTGGATTTCTGAGGAGTGGCTGGTGGGTTTGACCCATCAACCTCGTGGTTCGAAGTCCAGTGCTTACCCTACAGCACCACACCAGGAGTCCACACCAGGACTGTTGTTAAGTGCCGCGGAGTCGGTACTGACTCCGAGTCCGCTCCGACCCATAGCGACCGAGGGGCAGCTGGTGAGCGGTCCCCCCAGGACTGCAGGGCATCGGTCTTTTGAGTTGGCCACTGGGCTCGGAAGGGCCTTGGCTGTCAGATTCCAGTTACCTCACCTCGACACCAAGAGTAAGTCAAGTATTCGTCACTCAACCCTGGCCACCTAGGTTTGGGTGATCTCCGATAGGATTTGTGCCAGTGAGTTGGTATGACAGCAAAGTCCAGGAAAGGCCTGCTTTTTATCAACTACGTTGATGCTTGTCAGGCTTACCAAACACTAAACTCCTACTGGAGGATCTGGCTGCCCAGCGGCATTCCCCGGAAGGAAGTCGGAGTGCGCCGCCGCCGTCGCGCACACTCACGTATGCACGTATGGAGCACGCACGCATTGCGTCAACGCGTACCCACGCCGGGAGTAACTGAGGCCCGCGGCGCCTGGTACTGGACTTGGAGTCCTGCGCGGGAGGCCGTCCGGCTGCCGGGAGGTGAGTGTGTACGTGCGGGGGGCGTGGGGCAGGAGAGAAGGGGCCGGGAGTGCAGGGGAGGCCTGCGGGGATTGACGAGAGCCGGGGGCGAGCTGGGGGCCCGACGGGAGGAGGACGCGGCCCTCTGTGGCGGGGGAGGACAGTGACCTGGGGAAAGGCGGGGTGGGGTGGGGTGCTGAGGCTAGGATGGGGAACGTGGACGGCTGGAGGAGACCTGAGGGAGATATGGGTGAGGAGGATTTGCGGGGACAGGGACGGAGAACGGAAGGAGGACGGAGAGGAGGGGGTGCCATCTCAGTCCGAAGGAGGCTGCCCAGGCCCCAGCGGTGAAGACTGACTGGCCACTGTCTGTCTCAGATCCCGTCACGTTTCAAGATGTCGTACATGCTCCCGCATCTCCACAACGGCTGGCAGGTGGACCAGGCCATCCTTTCGGAAGAGGACCGCGTGGTCGTCATTCGCTTTGGACACGATTGGGACCCTACGTGTATGAAAATGGATGAAGTACTCTACAGCATAGCTGAAAAGGTCCATTTCCTTAGGGGGATTGCTGGTGGGCGCCTGGCAGTGAAACGGAAAAGGGAGGTGCCAGGCCGGGTCCTGTGCTCTGTGAGGAAACAGTAGACGGCTTGGGCCTCATAGTGTGATTCTTGCATGTGTGTGCTCCCCGAAATTGGACACAGTAGTTGGGATCTTTGTCTGGGGGACGTTTCCATAGAGTTCTCAACATTCCCAGAGGTCATTTCTGTTGCTAGGGTGGTGTTCAGAATTCACACCTGCGTCGCAGTGAGAACGCCCGTTTGCAGACTTGGCATGATGCTGTAGGGTCAGCACTGGGCTGCAGACTTTAAGGTCAGCAGTTAAACCAGCAGCTGCTCCGGGGATACTCCAGACAGACAGGGTCGTTCTGAGTCAGAACCGACTCCATGGCACTCAACAACAGCCACTGAGTTGGCAAGGGCATTGGAACTTCCTGGGGATAATTTAGAAAGGATGGTCATGTTTTGTTCCCTGTTTATTTATAAAACAGAACATTTATGTAGTAAATCTTTTTCTCTTTTACTGTTTTGTTTTGTTCCATTTTTTCCCCTTTATTACACCAAGTTCTCTTTAAGCACTTGATTTGAAGTTAGGAGTAATTTAAATGTAAGTAACATTAGGAAAAAGGGTTTGACGTTAGCGTCCTGGGCAGTCTGCGGCACCTGTTTGCTGACAATAAGAGTATAGTTGTCGGGTCCTTTCATATAACCTGAGAAAACTGCTTTTTCTATCACTTCCTGATTTGTAAAGTTAAAGCAGTAAGGCCCAAAACAGTGTTAAGGTAGTAACAAAATATTAGAGTCAGGATATGGTTCTATAGGATAAGAACTGGACTGCTAACTAGAGATGGGTGGCTCAAGGCCTCCAGCTGCTCCTTGGCTGCTGTGAATCAGAACTGACTTGATGGCACTTAACAACAACACTAAACTATTAATGATCCATAATGAATTTAAGAGGTCATTCATTTGAATAGAGAGAAAAAGTAATATAAACATTTTGTAAAAAGTAATCGAAACATTGAAGTAATATTTTCTTTGTTGGGGATAGGAAATTTAGGCTTGATTAAAAGAACCCCTTTGAGTAAATAGTAACAACTACATGTGTTATACGGAAAAGGAAAAATGATTTCTAATGTTTGCTATCTTCCTTGTAGTAGGGAAAGGTACCCTAGTGGCACAGTGGATTCAGTTTGGGGCTGCTCGCTGAAAAGTCAGCTGTTTGAATCCCCAGCCACTCGTTGGGAGAACGATGAGGCAGTCAATTTCCATAAAGATTCACAAGCTTGGAAACTCTGTGGAGCAGTTCTGCCCTGCAGAGCTAACTCAGCAAGCGATGCATTTTACTTAGTAGGAAGGGCATCATGAGAGAGCGGTGGTGGCTTTATGAATTCAAGGACTGTTCTTATATTTTGGAGTCTGTACTGCAAAGTTGTTTGAACCACAAGGTCGGTGGTTCAAGCTCACCAGCTGCTCCTCTGTAATCCTATACAGGGTTACTATGGGTCAGAACCAACTCAATCGCACTTAACAACAACAGCAGCATTCTTACATTTTAGTAGTGCTTATTAAAATGTGACTCAGATTCAGATTCCGTAGATGTGTGGTGGGGATCCAAGAAACTGCTTTGTAAAGTAGCAGGGAATTGTGAGGAGCTTGACGCAATGTCAGTGGAGATAAGAACAGAGCGGAGTTTAGCCTGTCCGCCATCTCCCAGCCTCTTCCTCTCAGACACCAGGTTACTAGGGAGCTTAGTAGAAACCCGGGGGATTCAGGAGACTAGCAGTTCTCTCACCAGTAGGGACCCTCCCAACTGGGGTCAGAAAGCTAATGAGTGAGACGGATGGTGCCAAGAAACTTGCTTAAGCTAGCATGAGTAAAGGTAAATACTGCTGTACTTCAGTGTAAAATTCACTAAAAGCAGTTTTTGCATAAGCAAACCATTACTGTATTGACTGAAATAATTTAGGGTATGTATGGTGGAACTTTTCACTGTTCTACCTTGCAGGTGACGGCATAAACATCGAGGGATGCCCAGATCCCCTGCCATCAATTGCGAGGCTAGGATGGATAGAGAGGGTCATGGTTCTCCAGGTCTAAGCAAAACTCAGCATGAATGCTGTTAGCTAGCAAACAGACTTTATGTGTCTTCATGTAAGTTGTAGGGACTTACACCAGACTAGTCTCTGCTTTTCTAATTCCTTTACTTTAGTCTCTAGTCTGAATCCTGTGTTCCTATGCTCTTTATGTGGTTTTGAACCTAGTGACAAAGGACAATTTGACTTGGTTCACTTTCAGTAATTTTCTTTTGTCTTTTTAATTACTGTCTTTTGCTTGCCCCAAATTTGGGTTTCTTTTCAATCAACCTTTACTCTTAAAGTATAGTTGTTCAAATTGCAAACTTGAAATACATTCAAAGACTATTAATGTTTTATTTTCTTCTTTTAGTGTAAGGGCAAAATTTTAATTTGTAATTCTGGAAGCCCTTTATGGGGAAGCACAGTGGGAATTTTGAAATTTAAGGTTGTAGTATAAAGAACAATATAACACTTTATTTAAAAATCTCCCTCTGCAGAAATGACAGATAGTGAGGGATCGTCCTCATCATGTAAGGAGCCCTGTTTGGATATCACAGCTGTTTTAAAGTGAGTAAAAGTTGCAAATGTGGAGGCTGGACTTGACTATACTCTTTCTCCTCTATGTGGTGTATTGACTTGCTGCTTATAGAAGGCTCACCCCCATTCAAGCTGGAGTATACAGAAGGCAGGAAGTTAGCCTAAAGTTACAGGAGATATGTTCCAGACTTTACAGATCTCTGTGGCTTGCTTATTTATAAGTATGGACAACTTATTGGGTGGAATGATAATATAAGTTTCCTGTTTAGCATCTGATTTTATACACAGCTTTGAAAAGAGATTATGTAATGTACAGTTCAGCTTTTTTTCCATTTTGGAGGAGCATAGTTTGGAACAAGTAATGCTTTTGGGTTCACTGTTACTTAATCCCAGATAAATAAAAATAATTGGGACATTTCATTTAAGTCCAAACAAATGGATCTTAAAATATCTGAAATCTCAGTGATATATCAGTGGCTCATGATCATGCAATCTAATAGAATGTGTATGAGGTAGATCTGTTTTTGAAATGTTTTAAGACTGATAATAGTGATTCATCTGAAGTATCACATTACCAATCAGTTAGCCCAGTGGAAGCTGATGCTCCAATAAGGAGTCTTTATCATGAGCAAATAGTGTACATATTTTTGTGGTTTGATATGGATTTGTGATTCTGAATATAAACAGCTTTGCAAATAGAGACTCCAGTTATACTCTGTCACTCACTAGCGGTGTAATCGTAATACATTGTGTCTGTGCCTCATTTTACTCATCTCTAGAAAGGGCCCTAACTTCAGGGTTGTCATGAGGACTAAATGAGTTCTCACGGAGAAAGTAGTATATTCATTGTTGAATGTAAAACTGATGATCTGCCCTGTAAACTTTTATTCAATTCACAATCAAAACCTTAAAAAAAAAGAAAAGAAAGGCTATAGCCTTATCAGTAATGTTAGGCCTGTATTACCAGTATGGATGTGTCAAAGTTGAGTTCTGTTCTCTAGGGATTTCAGTAGCTGATTTTTCAGAAGTAGCTCACCAGGCCTTCCTTCTAAGACTTCTCGGGGTTGAGCCTCCCTCCCTTTTGGTTAGCGACCTCGCATTGAAGTTTGCACCAGTCATGGGCTCCATTATTATCATTAACTGCCCTCAAATGACAAAATTGTTGAGAGTTTTTATGAGTAATTAGGGCTCGAAGTTGTTTTAGAAAATACTGTTCGTCCCTGCACTAAGACTTAGGACAAGGTTTCCTTTGTAAATCAAATGACGTAAGTTGAAGACTATTTTCTTCTCATTATAATTGCCTTATATTAGTATCTGTACAGATGTGCTCTATGGACATGTGTGAGTGAACATCTAAGAATGATATAACATCAGCAAATTATATCTTGTAACATTGTATATTGTACGTATTACTAAGGATAAGGTGCTTAAAAACAACAGCATAGTCCTGAATGCAGCTTTATTGGTTAGTGGGGGTCATCATGACTTGACTGTCGGAAGGTGGAGGCCACCAGTAAATTTATCACTCAGTTTTGTGATGGCTTTGAAGTGAATTACCTAAGAGTGTAAAAAGACAAGGAGTCTTCAAACAGTGTGTGGGGAAATTCCATTATCTGTTTGCTTTTTCCTTTTCAAAAAAGAATATTTTCCTTTACTTTTGGTAGCAGTATATCCAACCAGATGCACATCCGTTTATACTTTCGACATGAACAGTTGAGTATTGTGGGTTACGTCTGTCATCTGTGTCACCATTTTAACCACCCTTATCTTTTCATTCCATTTTTCCACAAACTTTTTGAAGTCCCCTTGTAGATAGTAGACTGATTACCCGAACTTTATGAAAAATACATTTCTGTGAATTCTTAGCTAGTTGTAGCGTTCCTCACAAAGCTATGTAACAGTAAGTTGGCATTGTGTGCTAGATTTTGGTCTAAGTGTTGTGTGTGTTACTTAGTTGTATCTTGAAGATAAATTTAGTGGAATGCAGAGGACTGGTGAAGCATTTCATCACTGACTCACCTGGAGAAAACTGAAACATGCTTATCGAACTTGTAGGTGGCAGGACTGCCAAGAGTATTTCATATTATAGATCAAAAGAAAAAAGTTCATGGGAAAATTCCATTATATTTTA